ATTTTTCAAACAGTCACATGGTGCCATCAATGTATGGTGAGGCCTTGGACCCTGAATAAATCAAGAAAATGTATTCAAACTTAATTCAAACTTAATTCAGACTTAAGAGGGAGCAATAGTGCAACATTTTATTGGTTGAAGTTTGCAGAAGAACGTTGGATTCAGAGCTCGTCAAATATTCTGTATTCCTTGTCATAAACAAGATATAGATAGAATAGTCGTGTCTTTTAGAAGAATTAGCAGCAAATGTAAGGGGTTTCTTTTGTGCTGTTACAAATTAGATTTTTCTTTCTTCCCTTGAGAATCCAGACTGAACAATAGAATACTCTAAAAGAGAGAATTGCTGAACACCAAGGCCATGTTTTTGAAAACTAAGTAAACAAAGAATAGAGATGTATGCTTGGCATTCTGAATCAATTATCAGTGAAATCCTGTTATGCCATTCAGAATAGAGGCCTCAAAGTCAAGGTTTGCTTTCCAAGCATTCACTGCTTTTAGGAGGCTTGGCCTTGGACATCTATAAAGGATTTAATTTTTACAAAATCGAATTTTCTAACTGGGATAAAGATCTTCATTTCTTAAAAGTTGACAGAAAATGAGAACTAATTATACTCCTAATCTAAGACAATTAGTTAAATTTGTCAGTAACTGGTAGTAGGTTCAAGGCTAGATTGTCATTGAGTGGTCTTCTGTAGTGAAAAAATATTGACCACTCATGTACTTCTAATCTCATCTGAAGCAAGAAACTGGAAGTGTATATGAATGTAAAGCATTACTATTTGTCAGGGGTAGGGAAGAAAAAGAGGGCAACTATTGAAATAATCTATAATAAATAATGTATCGTATAGAACAAAGGTCCCCAACCCCTGGGCCGTGGACCAGTCCAGGTCTCTGACCTGTCAGGAACCGGGCCACGCAGCAGGAGAGCATTTCTTCCTGAGCTCTGCCTTCTGTCAGGTGAGCAGCAGCATTAAATTTTCACAGGAGCATGAACCCTGTTGTGAACGGCACATGTGCATGATCTAGGTTCCACGCTCCTTCTGAGAATCTAATAATGCCTGATGATCTGAGGTGGAACAGTCATCCCGAAACCATGTCTCACCTCCATTTGTGGAAAAAATGTCTTTAACGAAGCCAGTCCCCAGTGCCAAAAAGATCATAGAATATATAATTGAGAATATGTAATACAATATAACTTTAAATAACACCAATTTATAGAATATCATTCACCTGTTATAAATATTATTAAATATAACTTGCCAAATAAAAGGATTTTTATGGCCAAAAATATTATGTTTTTTTCTAAAGAAAATTTATTCTGGAATTTTTATATTGAACATTATTTGGCTACTAATTTACATTGATATTTCCACAATTAAATAAAATCCTTTGAATTTTGATTGTTTGCTCTGGACATTCAAATAAAGATTATGACTTACAGAATAATAATTGCATTTTAAAGTCTTTATAATATACAATGAAAATGAAAACTTTTTTGTTGAATTTCATTGAAATTTATTGAACTTTAGTGAATCAGAATTCCACAATTATTTTTTGAGATTAGGTTTTTATATGAATGAGAAATACAGTTTCATAATCTAGAGTAATATTTGCTGAAAATGATTTTTCAAGGAATTTGGCCTTGTTTTATTTTTCCTGTTATGAAAGAATCATGTTTTATACCTTTTATTTTTTAAGAACTACAGTGTCAGGAAAACAGGAGAGACTAAAAATACTTTCTAAGAATAGAGAAAGGCACCAGCATAACCACATAAACTCTTTATAATATAAAACAAAGGATCTCCTGAAAACAACTTTTAACTTTAAAAAGCACTTAACTTACCCGGTGGTAACCAGAATAGTTAGTTCAAAAAAATCTTCCTGAGTAAACTCTACCCTCACATTTAGAGACACAGACGGAAACAGAGATGGGAGCTAAGGGGCATCCTGGGGAGAGATAGAGACAAGGGCAGAAAAAGAGAGATAATGTGTGTGTAAGTACAATGGAAATGACAGAGCACAATTCATGTCTAGGAAATGACATAAACTTGTTTTAGCACGGCCAGTATTGTGCATTTAGTGTTATATTATTCCATCATCTACAGATTACCCTCTTATTTCAGCATTATTTATCCTGAATGTGCTAATAGCATTAAGATGGAGAAATGTTGGGCATCTTAGTAATTCTGGATGATCTATTTAATTTTATAAGGTTAAGAAGAAAAATAGTCTGGTCTTTTCAAGGTACCAGAGTAATATAGGTTTATTAGTCAAATATAATTCATAATATGGATCAGAAAAATATAGGCAGATAACCCAGGGTCTAAAATAGCATTAGTTCTTCCTTGTTTGCTTTGATGCTTTATATATTTTCTTTTCCATTTTTTTAAAGCTGCTTTCAATATTATTTGAGAAAAAGCTTTCCTAGTGAAACCATCTAATCCTACTTTCTAGGATTTGAATGGTATAATTGAATGAATGATTCTTGCTCTATAATACTCTGATGAAGAACTGGAGACTCATATTCTGTACGTAGTATAAATCGCTTGAAGAACATTGTTCATTGAACACCATGTGAATGTTGGTAGGTAGATCCAGTCAAACTGCCCTCTACAAAGGCTGTAGTAATTTCGCATTCCTATGGTAGATCCTCTTTGAATTTTGATTTCTGGATATCCATAAAAAGACTGTGACTAATAGGATAATGATTGCATTAAAAAGTCCCTGTAACTATATACTAACACATGGAAATATCTGTATTCTTACATCTTACTACACATTGAGTATTATCAAATTTATAAACCAAACAGATGTGATAGGTGTGCAATACCAGTACTTTCATTCTGAGTCAAATTTAAAATCAGTTCTAGTGCCTAGTCTGAGAATTCTTTATATTATTTGCTCATTTGTAGATGAACACATCTTGAGAAAAATATTTTGAAATCTACCTTAGTAATGGTTTGCCTGGTAAAGAAAATTTTCAAAGCATCAACTGGAAATTTTAAAACATATTGCCAGGATAATAGGAATATTTTAGAACTTGTCTTTTTCTCTCAGTCTATAAAAGTATAATTCACAATCAGTGTGTCAGTACCCAATACTTAGTAGCTGTTGAGTTATCAAAACTAAGAAAAAGTTAGCAGCCTTGAAAACAAATAAAACTTTATTAAAAATAACTAGATGTTGTTGCCTAATATGAATGAAAGAATCAAGGAAATTAAAGAGATAGAATAGATTGGGGATTAATGAAGTCTATCTGGATCATAAATAAACATTTGTTTAGTACAATATTACTATAATAGTCATAAATGTTTAAGAGAAAACACAGTGTTCCTCTTTCTATGCTATTTTGTATATTGATATAAATATTCATGAACAGTGGGTATCAGTTCAGGTTATCTGTGTGAATATAAATTCTCATATAACCGGCCGCTTAGTGTTCATTGGATCATGCTTTTGAATATGAATTCTCCAGTATCTCAGATGCATGATGGATCTGACGCAGCTCATGAATATTCACACACACACAACTGATCTTTTTGAAAATAATCACATCCATAAAGATGAAAATCTTGTTAGTTTTCAATAATGAGGACTGCGTTAGCATGCTGGTCCCAGAAGAGTTTCACAATCACCTTGCTTCTGTTTTCTTTTTTGGTAAATGATACAAATTTTAAAATATAAACACATAGGCTGTGCATCTTGTTTCACAGGCGCCCTTTTAATTTTACCTTTACAAAGGCTTGTGCATGATTTAACCATGATGGCATTCATTTCTTTTATTTGCTGTCATCACAGAAAATAATAGAAGAAAGTTAAGCTGTATCTCCAGTCTTCATCCTAATCACATTTCCACTGTGTTCAGGCTTGGTCAGAGATTGTCAAATGCAAAGTGCCCCAGTCTGCTAATCTCTCGGGGTATGGTGTATATTTTACATAGAAAATTTTCTATGTCATGTTTTCGTGTAGAGAGAAAATTATATTAGGCCAATTCAACTTTTAATATGCTAGACTTGAGAAGTTATGATCATGAAGGCCCATAATTATAAATTATGTATTATTTTAACCTAGATTATATCCTGCATTATAATTGCTTCGCTTTCATTGTAATGAATGGTATATGTTTGTAATACCTATCCAATCCAAGATCAGTTTCTAGTTATGAATACGTATCAAAATCAGTCACCTGGCCCTTATCGGCACCGTGCTCTAATTATTAATAGAACTAACCAGGAGGAAAAAACCATTATTGTTTATGAAGGTAGTGATAAAGTGTCAGCTGGTTGGTTTCTAACACTGATATTGTCAAGCCTCTGAATAAATTTTCTCATTACTAAAATACGTACAATTTTGTTATGTAAACATAGTTAATAAGCTATGCTCAATGACAACTTTTTTTTTTTTTTAAACTAGCAGGCTAATTTATGTTGCTCTGCCGCAGAGAGTCATCAATAGTTGATTACTGTGGTCTTAAAACTCTGTCCTAATGTGCCCCATAGTTTTCCTCAGAACTACCTCCAAGGATAAAAAGGAACACCACTCATGCCTCCTCATATTTAATGTGTCACGGTGGTTCTCAACCAGGAGGGATTTTGCCCACAGGGGCCGTCTGACAGTCTGGAGACATTTTCACTTGTCACAGCTTGGGGGTGGGGAGGTACTGGTGTCTAGTGGGTAGGATTAGACCTCACAACAAAGAATAACCTAGGCCAAAATGTCACTAGGGCCACTGTCATATAAAGTTTTGTTTTCAGAAATTATTTCCAGAGGATAAATGTCTTGATTTATCATCTTTCAGTGAATACCGTGTACATGTTAGTAGTAGGGTCAAACTGTCCTCTAAAATGTCGAAAATGTTGATAACCACTGGATTAGAATTCTTTTAGAAGTAAAACAATGAACATATTTAATATTATTTTCTAAATAAATGAAGACAGATTTAGTTTTTAATTATAAATTTGAATTAATTGTTTCTCTCTCTTTTTTTTTTTTTTTGTTAGCAACAATTGTGTTAAATGAACTCAACTGGACAAGTGCCTTAGATGAAGTTTTCAAAAAAAATCGAGAGGAAGACCCTTCACTGTTGTGGCAGGTTTTTGGCAGTGCCACTGGCCTGGCTCGATATTATCCAGGTAGGTGCTTAGTGATTCAATCATTGTCAAGTTATAGCCTCAATGTTTCTGGAGAATACTCTGTTATCTTCCCTGATATTATAAGAAAAAGATGACTATATCACACTACTTATGTAAGGAAGGAATATTCCTCTTTACATGGCTTTAGATTGACCACAATCACTTTAAACTGAAATACTTAAGGAGCAACTGGAGCTGTTAGTACCTGGAATCAGGCCATGCTGCTGTGAGACCATGAGCAGGTATCCTTAGTTCTATACCTGGAACAGGAAATTACCATCAATCTTAAAACAGCTCTGAGATAAAGGCCCAACTGCTCAGCATGCACCAAGCTGTGAGTCATGTTAGAGAATTGAATTGAATTTTTATAAATTAATTGAAATATTTATCTTCAGGTTTTAGGTCTGGGATTGAAATTTGTAACAAAAGTTTAATGTGTTTCTTTAATCAGTAGATGTGGATCTGTTAAAATGAGTAGGACAAGAAATAAAATGAAATCACAAAGAAAATATAGTTTTTCTTATGTGTCAGGTTGTATTACTTCTGAGTGCATCTCAGTGATTGTATATACTCAATGAAGATGAAGATGAATATGTTTTATATTAAAATGAAAAAGTCTTTTTATAAATATGTATTATTGTAAAAAAGTAAGGAGAAATAAATAGTAATTTCTATAGCAAAACATGAAAAATTAATTCCTAGGACATCCTGAAAACACTTTAAGTGAAATGTCTGTTTGTGTTTTTAACTTCTCCAATTTTTAACGCAAGCTGAAAAACATAAAATGCATTTTCTTTCTCAAACATGATCTGAGTTATGGGATACATGCTAGGTAATTTGGCTTTAAATGGCTACAGTATGACTTTAAATAGCATGATTCTTCTTGAGACTTGGGTGTCCTAACCATGTTTAATAAATTGAGTTATTCATATAAAAAGTCACAGCAGTAAATAGGGATGAATAAAAATTAGAAAGCATAACTTTGGGTTGTAATATTATAGCAATGAATGTAAGTATCTGGATATCAATAGACCTAACGGTACTCAAAGTAGGTAAAGACCATATAATTTGGACAGGGTTGCAGATCTCAGATGGTAAAATCAGTAATAATGTTTCCACATAAGTCCAACACACTAGGAGAAGCCAAGTTTGTATTAAATATTGAAAAAATGAATTATAATTAAATATTTGTATTAATATCTGATGGTAATATATCACATAGTTTATCATTATAATAGGGGAATTTTCCCTTTATGAAATATTGTTCATTTTAGTAGAACCCTTCTAGACATAATCTTGTTAGTTTATTAACATGTTAAATACTATGTTAAAACTTAAAATTTGAGTATATAATACTTAGATAAAGTAAAGGAAAAAGACAACACTACTCGTGCACATAATAAATCTGATGTAATAAACCTTAAAATTATATCAGGTCTTATAAAACATTTATAAATTATAAGACCTGATATAATTTAAAATACAGGAAATAGACATCTGATGTCCTATCCTATAATATACAAATATAAGAATATATTTGTCAACAACTTACAGCATTATGTAGCTTTTAAGTCTTTTCATATATCATTTATCATAACAATATTCCATATAGAAGTAAGGCAAAGAAGGAAATGATAATTAAAAGAAAATTAGGATGATAATGAGCAACCAAGAGCCCATTATCAGAGAGAAAATGATGATGTAGAGGAAGAGAGAAAAAGGTTACCAGAGAAAAACAAGAGGAGAGGAAGGAAAGAATGCATCCAAAATGGGAGATAAAACATGGGGATCAAGAGGTGGATGGAAAGATAAGTTATATTGTAAACACCTTTCAAAAATGGCTCTTTTAACAACTAGCAGTTAACTTTAAAAATTACTAATAAAACATATTCTGTAATTCTTTAATTTCAAATGCTATTTGAGGGATGATGGCTTTAATTTTTTAACGCTAATCATGTATTTTCAAATGTGTTGACATTTGTTTGCTTCACCTTGGAAAACATATTTAGATATTTAGCAGAATTCATGTGGTCTTGATAGAGGCAGGAGATAGACAAATTCTGTGAAGATGGGGCGGGTTTCCGGTGAAACACTACCTTCAAGCCGAAGACAGTTTAAAGCCTAGCTGCAAGTCTGGTAAATCCCCGGACCAGATTGAGAACCTCTCTTCTTGTTTGATGTGCTTTCCTCTGACTGAGCCCTGCTCTTCACCTGTTTCACATATACCTACCCTTTTCTAATTGTTTTTTTTACACTGTCATGCCCACCTTTGAGTGGTGCCTTTGTTTTAGCCTTTTTTGAATACTTACAAACCAATCAACAGGAACTCTCCATTCTGAGTCCATGAAAGCCCCAGACCCAACCACACTGAGCAAGAGATGATCTGACCTCAGGTGGGCAATGACCCTTACATTCCTTCTCCTCTGAGAGCTTTCTCATTGCTCAATAAGATTCTTCTCCACCCTCCCCAGCCTTCCATTGTCAGCATAACCTCATTCTTTTTGAAAGTGTGACAAGAATCTACGAAACGCGGGTACAAAGGAAGTTGTAACACTATAGCCCTCTGCCTTCTGCTGGTGGGGGGCAGCTGCCCGACACATGTGCTTTGGGGTCAGAGGCACCTCTGCTTGGGTGCCAGCACGTTTCCCCATTCGAGGTGCCGGAGTCCACCACGGGAGTCACTTACAATGTGCCTTGTCTAGCCACAAGCCCCACATACAGCCCACTTCTGTGCCAGCACTTGGAATGGCAGACCAGAGCCTGCACTCACTTGCTCACACACCGCCTCCCGCCACAGGCTGGGTGCACAGTCACAATGACTGTGGGATCCACGCCAGAGCGCAGGCCGGGTGCTGACCAGCAGGCAGAGTAGATGAGGTATCTCCTGCAGTGAACCTGGGCCCAAACAAGGATGGGGCAGGGGCATCACTGACCGGAGATCTCTGGCTGGCCACAGTGACTGAGGAGAGTCCTACATCAGTCTTTCCAGAACATTAGCTAGGGAAGCAACCCTGTGCCCACTCTTAATACCTAGGTTTGAAGTGAGAGTTTGGCAAGCAAATTGACTCACCAAATAAGAGGCTGAATTCATTTACCTGTCACAGGAAGGTCTTTAAAATAGCCCACTTGACTGCTATAGAATACACTTGAATCGATTTTAGTTCAGTGAATCTGTTACCAAGTTGCTCTTTATGACAATAGTGATATAATAGAACCAAGTCTTTAGTAAAGACATTGAGACAATGTCATAATTTTAAAAGTGCATGATTGTGTTTCTGTTTTTGTAAGACTGTGTTTTTAACACAAAAACAACCAAGTTTAAAGCTTTATTTAAATGACGTGATTAAAAATTTTTTTGGCAGACTATATATACTTCTCTGATTTTATCATTTTGATAGAAGCAAAATAATATTGAAGGACTCACCCCTGTTTACTGTATATTAAACCGGAGGTCAAAAATAGTCTTTCAGTATTTTAATTATCTTAACAGTAAGTGGAAACAGCATATATGTTACTTCTACTTAATTGAACTTTTACACAGAAGACTTGACCCTCAGGCTAGGATCTCCCTACCAGCTGTGAGAACCTAGGTAGGTCTCCTAAACTTTCTGAGACCTAATCATCAAATTTGAAAAAGTAGAATATTAATAACTCCTCATTTTATCCCCTGGGGGTTATTGTGATCAATGAGATAATATGATGAAAAGTACTTTGAAAATAGGAAACAGTAGGTATTTCTACAATAGTGCATGTCAACTAGAATAATTTTGCCTAAATGCAGCTTTCTCTTTATCTCGGACATTAAAGAACACAATTGAAGCTTACAGTGGGTTGACAAGGAAACTGAAATAGAACTCTGGAAGGAATCTAAACGTGACTAAGCCATAAAGTCAGGCAACAACACCACATAGTGAAACTGGTCAGAAGAGATGGATTTTAGCTGATGGCTTTAGGTCACTTTTCTGTAGGGTTGCCAGATATGATAAAGGATGTCCAATTAAATGTAAATTTCAAATAAGCAATGAAGAACCTTTTAGTGTAAGTATGCTTCATGCAATATTTGTGATACACTTTTACTAAGAAGATATTTATTTTTTATTGAAATTCAAGCTTAACTGATTGTCTTGTATTTCTTTTTGCTAAATTCATTAACCTTCTTTTTCAGGTTTTCAGTTTCTATATATTTGTAATATCGGAAAGTCAGCTTCCCCATTACATCACAGTATTGTAGAGATCAAGCAAAGCCTATTCAGCCAGATATATAGAATTTTATAATTTTCATTTTTAAATTCTGTAAGCTACCAATTTTTATTTTTGTAAGCGAATACTTGCTACAGAGCTTTTGAAAATAAAATGTTTTGCAGGAACTAGAACCTTCTGATTCACAACAGAATCTAAAATATATTCTTGTTGATTATTAATATGCTACTTAAAGCACAGTCACATACCATGAGGCAGGTGAGCAATATATATATATATTTAACCCCATCAATATTATGTTCCCATAATAATTAAAATAAAAAATAAAAAATTTAATTGAAAGATAATGTCATGTACAAATTTTGACATATACACACACACACACGCACACACAGACATTGTAGAATGGTTAAATCTAGCTAATTAACAAAGCCTCACCTAACAGTTATTATTGTGGCCTATATATCATCATTAACTAGTTACCATTTATATATTAGATCTCTTGAATTTATTCCTGATCTCTAACTGTAATTATACGTCCTTTGACCAACATCTCCACATCTCTTCCTCCCTTGTAACCACCCCAATCTTTGGTAACCACCATTAGACTCTGTATTCTATGACATCAACTTTTTTTTTTTCTTTTTTTTGAGACAGTCTCACTCTGTCGCCCAGGTTGGAGTGCAGTGGCGTAATCTCGGCTCATTGCAACCTCTGCCCCCTAGGTTCAAGAGATTCTCCTGCCTGAGCCTCCCAAGTAGCAGGGATTACAGATGAATGCCACCATGCCTGGCTAATTG